CTTAAACCCTTTTCATGTAGGTATCTATGCTTTACTTACAGGGTACTGGGCTCCGTGAAATTCGGACTGGCTCAAACTGTTTGGGCTTGGGCCTATGAGGTCTGAGCCTTAGATCCTTTAAAGCTTTACTGAATAACATGCTGATCTTTGCTGGGTAACGTAGCTTTAATAATTAGAATAGGGTGTTGGCGTCTAATTATTACACTATAATTATAATAAGGAGCCCTGAAAATAATATAGGTAATCTATTTAGGCCCCTACAGTATGTGGGTTTAAGGCCTAGGGCTTTAGACCCAAAGTACGGCAAGTGTACCCTAATTTATCCTCAAGACTGGAATGCAGGTACATCTATATGAACCCGGGCAAAGACCTCTCTGGTCACAGGGCTCCAGCGGTGAGATGAAGGTTGCTGGGTAGATCCCAAATTCCAATTCATAATAATTGAAACGACTTAGTCCGAAATTCGACCCACCTTCCTCCCATGCGTTGAGGGACCGGTAAGGCCTAGAACCCAACGAGGGCACTTCTACCACAACAAGTACGGTCACCGACGCGCTCGGCCCCAACTCGCCTTGATCCCAACCCTTTGAGGCCTGACCTCACGCAGCTTGGAATTAGGGAGGCGACTGGGCCGGATGCCCCCGGCAGAGAGCAATGGCTTAAGCTGCACCGGAGCCTGATGAACTCAGAGACTCCAATATCCCTTAATTAAGGAATATTCCTTCAAGTATAGTAGGATCCCTAATATGATTTAAGGTCTATTCCTTAACTAAGGAACACCGGAGTCTCTAGGAAGTTTCGGCTGAAGATTGCGCGATGTTGGTAGGGGATAGCTGTAGAGTGAGGACTGGGGGGGGCAAAGAATGGACTCTAGGACGAGACCTGGAAAGCTTTAGTTGTTGAGCCCTCTTTTTATCCGCTTGCACTTCTCTCAGAACCTTGCCTATTTTCCCTCAATCCCGAAACTGGGGTCCTGAATCTTTAGATTCACGTTGAAACGGCTAAGGCCCAAGCCCAAGCTTGTTGGGTCTGTCCCGCTAAAGGCTTGGATGCTAAAATCCTGCGATTTTCAACCCGAAACCCTGAGAAGGATCTTACGACACCGAGAACCGTGACTAAACCCTAAACCTGAGACCCCTCGCTTCAGCAAAGAGGCAAAACATCCGAACGCCCCAATCCCCCGAACGTACTAGTTCAGTTCCCGATGAGAGTTATAGGTGTTTCCCGTGCGAGGAATGTTCATCGCTAGTTTCTTGGCCCACTTAGGCTGTAACTGCCTTTGACTCCAAACGCATCTTTGAATCTGTCAAGGAGGCCCTAGCCGGAAAGTAGAGGCCAGACCATCGGCGTACCAATTTGACCGTAAGACTTCAAATAACACCCCATGTAGGCACGTTTATGGACGTTACATCCTGTTGCTTACATACTTGGAGTCTTAGGGTAAGTAAGTATACATCGAAACCGAGAACGAATCATGCCCAGTGCATTTTCGGATTTGTCAGAGTGTACTGTAGTTTAAGGTTATAATTCCTTAACTCGCAAGCTGCATCCTCAATTCCTGGAGCTCCAATTCAACCCCAAACCCATCCTGGCAAAAAACTGAGTAAGCCGGCCACGGCGGCGTATCGTCGTCGGCAAAGGGGTCGTCGGTGTCGGGTCCTTGTGACCGACAAAAATCTTAGGCTTGAGATCCCTGTTCGCCCCAAAACCATACCTCTTTAAGGCGTTATAAATTATATGCAAAAAATAGGCAATAAAAAACCACAATAAGGAGTCCTAGCAGGGTATGTTTTTCGGCTACAGGTAAGGGACATGGCGCTTTGGTCCTTTAGGTTGACTCGGGATGTATGAAGCAAAAGGTTATGGCAATTCAGTAATTCAATGCAATTCAGAGAGGAAAACCCCCCCAAAAAAAAACGCTTCCCCCAAAGCATCCCCAAACCCCTCCAATCCCATGCAACGCCGTCGACTCCGAAGCACATAGACTTCCAGAGCTCCACGCACCTCAACAGTTAAAATGTGGGGGCGCCTTTGATGTTCAGCTTCTAGGAGAATATCATGACGAATGATTCAGACCTATAGACATTAAGGGGAATTATATATAGGGCTTAAGATCGGACCGTAGTGGTTTTTCCTTAAACCTGGTAGACCAACGCAAGCTTATCGGACTTCGCCCAACAGTCCTTTCCCTGAAAGCCCCCAAATTCCTGAAACTCCTAAACCCTAAACCCTAAACCTTAAACCCTAAAGCCTAAACCCTAAGCCCTCTGCATCACTCAGCACCGCGCTGCGGATCTTCAGAAAATCCTCCCGGCCGTTGATTATCGACTTCGGCCTCTGATCTCCGATCTCTAAACTTTAAATTTTCCTAGGTTCCCCAGTAGCCCCTTGATAATATTTATTGTTTAAGGGTTTAGGGCTTAGGATTTAGGGTTTACCTGTAGTCTCCATTGTAGTTCCTTTTTTTGGTTTAACCAAATCTATACTAAGGATCCCAAAGGGTAACCCCAAAAAGGAACCACAATGGAGACTATAGGTAAACTTTACATGTTTCTTATAAACCCTAAGCATTCAGACTCGGATGTGCAAGACTTGTCCCTGAAACTTACTACATGCACGTAGCCAAAACCACAAGGACCACAAGGGTAGGATGTCGGTCTTGGGATGGTTTGGGCTCGGATTTCGGGTCTGTGCTTTCGGCATTTCCTGGCGTTCGGGGCGGGGCTTCTTATTCTGAAGGGATACCTAATTAAGAGGGTTTAGGGTTTAGGGTTCATTAAGAGGGATGCTTCTTGTAATCAACTAAGACTATAGATATGACAGTATGCACGGTATGGTGAAGGTGGAGACGTCGAATATGGGGCCCTATGTTGGGCCGTGATAATGAAAGTAAGGCTCTGTGGTGTATCGTGATACTGCAACTTTTTTTACGACTCTCAGGATATCCTATCACTCGTGGCGCAGACCCCCTGAACCCTAGACCCTAAAGAATTTCAATGCGGGAGACTGTCGGGCGCCATTTCGAATCGCTGTTGCTTGGGGTCGCTTTCGACCTAAACTTCAACCCCAAGCGCCAAACTCTATAGTTTATGGTTCAGGGTTTAGGGTTTATGTCTAGGGTTTATGGTTAGGGTTCTAGGGTTGATGGTTCAGGGCTTTCTTAACAACTATTTAATCCGATCCCCCGCAACGTCTCAGAAATCCCCGAAGGCTCAGGGTTTATAGGGTTTAGGATAAATCCACACTCTCTACCCATAGGCTCCTAGGTAGTTCCTTTTTGTGGTTCATATTTAGAATCCTATAAGGTAATCCTAAAAAGGAACTACGAAGGAGCCTACGGGTAGAGCTTGCGCCTGGGGACCCTAAACTGAGAGGAAACGCCAAAAAAGCCAGATGATTGGCCAGCATTTCCACGTCCCCGGCCGAGAGTACCATTCCGTGCCCACATCGCTGAAGGACATTGCGCGGTAATATGGAGGCCGTAATAATTAGAGTAAGGTCTTGGGGTATAGTATGCTATAATTGTAACAAAGAACTCCCAAAATCATACAGGTAACTATTCAGGCCCCTATATCAGGGTTGTTGCGCCAGGTTTTATGGTTTAGGGCTTTCGGAGTTTCGGAAACCCTAGACCCTAAACCCTAAATCCTAGACTCTAAACCCTAAATCCTCACTAAACCCCAAACCGCCGGATTTCGAGCTTCAAGCTTCGAGAGTCTTGTTTCACAGTGCTTTTGGAGCCTGCTTCGAAACCCACTCCCGTAATGTAGAGGCCTTAAGAAGAGAGGTTTGGGGTCCTTTTATACTATTACCTTAATAAGGAACCCCAACAGTATCTATTGTAGGCTACTACATTGCCTGTGCTTCGTACTCGCCATCGAAACCCTGAGGTTTAGGGTTTAGGGGTCTAGGGGTTTAGGGGTCTAGGGGTTTAGGGGTTTAGGGTTTAGGGTTTAGGGTTTTTAGGGTGTAGGGTTTACGGGTTTAGGGGGTTAGGGGTTTAGGGTTTAGGGCTTCGCCTCTAAGGGTGCTGGTGCTTCTGTAGGTCGAGACTGTGCGTGGTCTACTGAGTCTACTTGGAATGAGCCAAAAGAGCCAAGGGACGGCTGCGGATGCTACGATAGATCGCAAAAGCGGGAAGACTAGGAGCTGCTGCACTAGCATGACCAGCAAGCTGGAAAGAAGCACCCCTACCCTCCTGATGCTGTCACTGGAAGGCGTTTTTGCCGAAGCTTCTCAAACTTGTAGCGAAAGCCGAACTCCAAACGAGCTATGTACAAACTTTGATAACTACCATCTCCTGCCAAGAAGCATCAGCAGCTCCCAAAACATTTAAAGCCCTATAAACCCTAAATACCTAAATCCCGCCATAAAAAAAAACTGAAGCCAAAATCCTGTTCCACGGCTTTCAGGCTCTATGCCGGCAGCAGCCAGCTGGAAAGCGACGCCGGCTTGAGAGGTCCCCCTAACTCTTTGAGAGGGAAGGCGCTGTTCACCAGGGCCTTTCACACCAGGGTGTGTACGAGTCCACGTGTTCGTGTGTGTTTGTGTGTGTGTGTGTCTCTGTGTGTCTCTGTGTGTGTGTGTGTGGGTGTGGGTGTGTGTGTGTGTCTGTGTGTGTGCGTGCATGTATGTATATGTATGTATGTGTATGTGTAAATGCAAATAAAGATAAATAAATATATATATATGTATATGTAGAATGTATACTATGTATACATGTGCTTGTGTGTGACAGTGGTTTAGCGGTGTAGGGCTTGTAGGGTCTTTTGGGTTCAAGAGACTGGGACTACCTCTTCACCCTATTGTCTTACTATATTACAACCACATTCAACCGGGTATTCAACAAAAACTCTGCTTCAAGAATGGGTCTAGCTAGAGATCCGAAACGCCCTAAACCCTAAAACCCTAAACCCTAAAGCCTAAACCCCCTAAAGCCTAAACCCCTAAAGCCTAAACCCCTAAACCCTAACCCCTAACCCCTAAACCCTAAACCCTGCCTGTAGGAAGGGTATCTCGGCCAGGAGAAGGAAGGCCTGCACCCTGGTCGCTGCATCCGCGTGCGTGAAGACCTTGCTTCCAGGCAGCAGCACCAGCGAGGTGTGAAAGATCCAGACCTGGAGGTTTACGGGGTTTAGGGGGGGTTTAGCGGGGGTTTAGGGGTTTTAGGGGTTTAGGGGTTTAGGGGTTAGGGGGTTTAGGGTTTTAGGGGGGGTTTAGGGGTTTAGGGGGTTTAGGGTTGGCGGGCTTCTTCGATCGACGGCTTCAGTGAGGTTCAGTCGAACTCTGCATGGCTCTGTCGGCTGCATAGCCGTTCTGACTGATTGCATGGGAAGATGCCTGAACCCTAAACCCCCCCAACAAAAACAAACACCTAAATCCTAAACCCCAAAGTCCTGAGCCCGAAACCCTCAAAGCCAAGAAGCCCTGAAACCTAAACCCTAAACCCTACCCCCCCCCCCCCGAAGTCCGAACCTCTAAAACACCTATACAAACCTCAAGAGCCAAGAAAGCGAAAACCTTCAAACCCGAAGGCCCCAACATCGGGGCCTGAGGAGTTTAGGGTTCAAGGGTTTAGGGTTTAGGGATTTTAGGGTTTAGGGGTTTAGGGTTTAGGGGTTTAGGGTTTAGGGTTTAGGGCTTAGGGTTTAGGGTCTAGCGGTTTAGGGTTTAGGGCTTAGTTTTAGGTTGTTTCCGGGCTTGTAGGACTACAGGGTGTAGGCTTTGTTTGGAGAGAGGATAGCCTTTCAGTACAGTCAAAAAAAATGGCATGAGGCATGATGCTTCTAACTACGTGTGCTTCCATAGGAAGCACTCTTAGCTGGAGGGGGCCCGGGGTTCCTTGTGGAGGTCTCCGGAGGAATCGAAGCTTAGGGTTCAAGTTCCGGATTAACGGTTTAGGCCTAGGACTTAAGTTTTAGGACTTCGGCATTCCGTCTAGGGCTTACCGGGTTTCAGCGTGGAGGCATAGGGTTTAAGCTTTAGGGTTTCGGGGTGTCGTTTAGGGATTAGGGGCCCTGGGTTGCATCCGAGAAACGACGAGGGTTTTCTGGATGAGGGACAAAAGGATGAGCAACTTGATCGATAGGAACTTCGAGGTCGTCTTGAAGCGGTGCAGCACATCGTGCGTGGCTCTGTACAACGCAAAGAGCGCTTGCAAACAACAGAACATGGAGATAGACTGCAGCAGCTGCATCAGCAGTTCCACTTGGAAAAGCCCTTCGAAATGCACTTGCCTCTGGTGGGTGTTGAAGTCAAGCAGGGTGGTGACGGACGCAGCTATCGGGGCTACATAGCAATACTGTTCGATCATGGCCCGCATTTTCTGAAGCGCAGTGCCGTTAAACACCGTGGTGCCATCACGGAAAGCACAGGGGAGGAGAGCTACTGCACAGCAGCAGGGGGGGACACACCACCGGCTCCTCCCGAACATTCCTTGAGGTTCCCGTTGTGCCAAGATCCGCACCGTCGTTTCGGGACCTCCCATAAGGTCGATAATGGTCAGCCCGAAGTAATGTAGTGCCAAAGCCTCCCAGATCTCCTGCACCAGCAACGTGCCCACAGCCAGCTCGGGGACTGCGACTTGAAACCAGCAGGAAGCGGCTACCACAAAAGGGAAGAGGTGCATCAAAATGTAATACTTGCGCCGCGGACTCACAGGAGCTAACATCAGCTCTCGCTGGTGGCTTAAACACAGCACCGTCGTACCAGCCAAAAGTATGGATGCCACAGCCAAGCCGAGCAAGTACCGTGCATGGTCTCTTCGATCACCGTGAACAATGATGTCCTCATTCGCCAGACATTTGATCAAAGTATTACTCAACAGACTTGTGAGCATGGAACAGGCGATCATCTTCTTATCAATACTCTGGCTGTTACTGCCACTGCTGCTGCTGCTGCTGCTGCTGCTGCTGCTGGTGATACTAACTACTTCTACTAGGGCCACAGGTGCGCCGCGATGCCTCCGTTGAGAGCCTTAAGGGGATTGCTGCGTAATTACAGGGTTATGTGAACCTGTTGCGGCCGGTCACATTTTGCAGAATTGATTTGGTAACTTAAGCCGCAAACCTGGCATGCGGGCTGTTGGATTTTCACAAGCAGCCCATTTTGCCATGTTTGCAAGACGTGCTTTCGGCAACATGAAGGCCTGTTTAAGGGATTTCATGCTTGACAGGCCCACGGTGCATGCACACCAGTACTGACAGTACTGATGTCCGTGCTAGCACTCCCGTCACCACACCACACTCGAAGCGACAGCAGTCGCAGTAAGAAGGAAACACACCCATTATCGTCGTCGTAGTCGTCGTCGTCAACGTCGTCTCCTAGTCGTAGTAGAAGTAGTAGAAGTGGTAGAGGTAGTAGGTAGTAGGTAGTAGGTAGTAGGTAGTAGGTAGTAGGTAGTAGGCAGAAGG